AGAATCTGACTCTCATACCCAGTAGAAACGCCTTCAGCCAAAAGTTATTCCCCCTTGTTTTCAGCTTTACCCCTTCCTCGACGGACCCCCCCCCCCTCCCTCCCCCTTCAGTGCTTGCACTAGAAGGCGCAGCGCGATAGAGCGAAACGATTGTGCAGGATTGTGGGTGGCAGTGGTATGGCATGCGAAAAACGTGATGAGAATGGGAATCATAACCTCTGTTATGTGATGTTTTTTTCGTGTTTTATCTGAAACAATGCGTGAAAAAAGAGTTAATTAACGCATTGCTGAAAATTATTTGAGGTGTTGAACTTTCTAGACCTTTCTTAGAGCTGGACATCCTTTAAACAAGTCTGATGGCATCACATGGACACCGGATTTTCGTGGGGAACTTGCCACATGAAGTAACCCGCGACCAGTTAGTTAGTAAATTCAAAGACTATGGAACCGTCGAATCAGTCGAAGTCAAGACAAAGAAAGACGCTACCACCGATCAAGTCATAGCGACATTCAGCTATGTGAATTTGAACACGGACAAGGAATCGCTAAACCAATGTATGGCACTACTCTGTATATCCATGTTGTTAATGCTGCAACAATTAGTTTGTTATTATTAATGTTCTGTTGAAATTTTTAGGTATTCTCCTGCTAAATGGTGTGAAATGGGGACAACGTCATTTGAAAGTAGAGGTAGCGAAAGAGAGCTTTCTTCAACGTTTGCAGAGAGAAAGGCAATCTGCTAAGAATTCATCTGCGACGCAACAGGCATCTGTACCACATCAACCACCCAAGAAAGTATCAGAAAGTCCCTCTAAAGTCTCTCTCAAAGAAAATAAAATATTCAAGAAACAGACAATAAGGAAGAGGCCACAGAGTTCATCTGAATCTTCTGATAGTGAAGATGAAAATGATCATTTTCATTCCAAAAGCAAGTTACCCATGTTTAAGGGAATATCCTCATTCACACCAACTGAACCTAAGTCTGTTCCACAACATCAAGTTAAAAGGGAACAGTATACGAAAATTGAGTCCAAACAAGCAGCTGTTACCCGAGATAATAATAGTTTCAAGAAATTCTTAGAGCCTGCTCATTCAACAGACATCCTTAAGAAATTTGAGTCATTTAGTGATGTTTGGAAAGATGATGATGAAGTGTCCCAACCTTTAGAATTGAAGTACAATGCAAAACTAGGAAAGAAACAGAGAAATGATGGACCTTTAATCAAGCCTGTTACAAATGAGTGGCAGACTTTTGACAAGTCCCAAGAGAGTGCAGTGGGAACTAATGCAGCTGAAGAAAAGAGGTTAAAATCAATTGAAGAAAAAAGACATGCATTTGAACAGCAGAAGAGAGCAGTGCAACAAGCATTATCTGATAAGGTTTGTATACAAATATCTATCTATCTTAGTCTTTCCCCGTAAGTTTAAGATTTTAACTTCACCTGTGTTTTGTGTTGTAAAAGAATGCTCCACGGTCCAACAAAAAAATTGTCTTTGATGATGATGGAATTGACAATGTAGAAACAGCCATTCCTACAAAGAAACCAAGAATTGATTCCAGAGAGGGAGTTACCCATAAACCTCAAGAAAAGAAATCAAAAGCTTTGTCGCTGTTTGATGACTCGGATGATGAAACAGCCAATTGGAGTGGTGAATTCCAAGTGAAAAAGCAGTTTGAGGGGCACAAGGGTAAAAAAGTAAGATAACATATTTCCTTTATAATGTTCAATTGACTTTTAAGCCCAACATTTCTTTACTAGATCATTTTTTATTTTTTCTGTCAGCTATTGGAGTTACAAAGTGGATACAATAATGACCAACGTTTCAAACTCGATGAGAGATTCTATGATAGTGATGACGAATCAAGAAATAAAAGCGATAAAAAGTCAGAGGAATCAGAGCCGGGTATTGCTGAAGATCTTGCGGAGGAGCGAGAGAAACAACTAGAGATTTTATCTGGTATTCTTGGCAAGCCCATTTCAGTTTCTCTTCCACCATCCCATCATGAAAGGTACCATCCCATGATGATTTTGAGAGTGTTATGTAAAAAAGGTTAAGAATTTTATATTACATTTTACCCTTTTTCAGCAAAACTCAAGGAATGTTGAGGTTTGACCCTTCAAAGCCCAACCATTCTAAATATGAGCTCACGAAAGAACCTCACGAGGGAAAGAAAAAGAAGAAGTCAAAACTTGACAAGAAAATTGAGGATGAAGATGAAGAAGTCAACGAAGAAAATGATGAAACTGTGACCTCTAGGGTTCGGCGTGAAGAAAAGGATCCAGAGCCTGTATCTCAAACCAAATTTTATTCTGTATCTGACACTCTAGCTGATTCTCTCAAGCTAGCTAAGGAAGGTCAAAGCTCTGGATTCAGTTTGTTGCAAATGTTTGGTTCTTCAAATTCTTCTTTAGGTATGCTTTGTCCAAATGAAGTAAGATGTTTTCCTTTCACCAAATTTCTTTCACCATCATCTATCTATCTGATTTCAGAGGTTAAAGAGAAGCACCCTGAAGTCTTCACTAAATCACTGCATAAAGGGCCGAAAAAAGGATTTATGCTTGATGATTCTTCATCAGAGGATGAGGAAACTGAACAAGGCCCAACTGCTGTTGTCAACAGTTCAGCATTCCAATCAACTAACAGTTCCATTTCTGGTGTTAGATCAACTGGAGGTGTGTGGCAAGAAAGCTTTTTCTTCCAACCAAATGATGACCGGCTGAAGGGTGAGTTTCTTTAGATTTGCTTTATACCACAGAATTTTTGTAATATTGTAAAGTTTGATTTATAAATTTGAATGTTTTTCATCTTTTTGACAGAGGGTGCAGACTTCTTCTCACAGATCGATTCTTCAGATCCTGCTTTGTTTTCTAAGAAAAGAGAGGCTTTGAAACGTATTGTTAAACTGAAACTCAGAAAGACCAATCGTAAAGCTAATTCATTTAAGAACAAAGTTGGCACTCTAAGAAAGAAAGCTAATCTATGGCCAAAATCCAGTAATGGGCAAAGGCCAAGAAAGAGACAAAAACACTAAAAAGTTGGTAAAATTTAATTTTTAGCCTATTTTCTTGTTTAATCTTTTCACAATTTACATTCTTGATTTGCCTAGTCTCAAGTTTAAACCAAGTGGTGAATTATGGATAGGAAAGTGAAAATATAATACAAAAATAAACAGATGAATTATTATTTATTATGTAGAAGTACCATCTCAAAACATATTGAACAAGATTAAAAATATGTTTGGAGCTGTGAAACACTGTGTGAAGAACCATATTATACGTACATATATATACATTAACAGTTAACATACCTGATTCACCTGAACGTAATGGATTGGTCATCTTAGTGTTGTGGAGTTGCTTCTCTCAGGTCAAGCTTCTCATGCCGATTGAGAATCTGACTCTCATACCCAGTAGAAACGCCTTCAGCCAAAAGTTATTCCCCCTTGTTTTCAGCTTTACCCCTTCCTCGACGGACCCCCCCCCCCTCCCTCCCCCTTCAGTGCTTGCACTAGAAGGCGCAGCGCGATAGAGCGAAACGATTGTGCAGGATTGTGGGTGGCAGTGGTATGGCATGCGAAAAACGTGATGAGAATGGGAATCATAACCTCTGTTATGTGATGTTTTTTTCGTGTTTTATCTGAAACAATGCGTGAAAAAAGAGTTAATTAACGCATTGCTGAAAATTATTTGAGGTGTTGAACTTTCTAGACCTTTCTTAGAGCTGGACATCCTTTAAACAAGTCTGATGGCATCACATGGACACCGGATTTTCGTGGGGAACTTGCCACATGAAGTAACCCGCGACCAGTTAGTTAGTAAATTCAAAGACTATGGAACCGTCGAATCAGTCGAAGTCAAGACAAAGAAAGACGCTACCACCGATCAAGTCATAGCGACATTCAGCTATGTGAATTTGAACACGGACAAGGAATCGCTAAACCAATGTATGGCACTACTCTGTATATCCATGTTGTTAATGCTGCAACAATTAGTTTGTTATTATTAATGTTCTGTTGAAATTTTTAGGTATTCTCCTGCTAAATGGTGTGAAATGGGGACAACGTCATTTGAAAGTAGAGGTAGCGAAAGAGAGCTTTCTTCAACGTTTGCAGAGAGAAAGGCAATCTGCTAAGAATTCATCTGCGACGCAACAGGCATCTGTACCACATCAACCACCCAAGAAAGTATCAGAAAGTCCCTCTAAAGTCTCTCTCAAAGAAAATAAAATATTCAAGAAACAGACAATAAGGAAGAGGCCACAGAGTTCATCTGAATCTTCTGATAGTGAAGATGAAAATGATCATTTTCATTCCAAAAGCAAGTTACCCATGTTTAAGGGAATATCCTCATTCACACCAACTGAACCTAAGTCTGTTCCACAACATCAAGTTAAAAGGGAACAGTATACGAAAATTGAGTCCAAACAAGCAGCTGTTACCCGAGATAATAATAGTTTCAAGAAATTCTTAGAGCCTGCTCATTCAACAGACATCCTTAAGAAATTTGAGTCATTTAGTGATGTTTGGAAAGATGATGATGAAGTGTCCCAACCTTTAGAATTGAAGTACAATGCAAAACTAGGAAAGAAACAGAGAAATGATGGACCTTTAATCAAGCCTGTTACAAATGAGTGGCAGACTTTTGACAAGTCCCAAGAGAGTGCAGTGGGAACTAATGCAGCTGAAGAAAAGAGGTTAAAATCAATTGAAGAAAAAAGACATGCATTTGAACAGCAGAAGAGAGCAGTGCAACAAGCATTATCTGATAAGGTTTGTATACAAATATCTATCTATCTTAGTCTTTCCCCGTAAGTTTAAGATTTTAACTTCACCTGTGTTTTGTGTTGTAAAAGAATGCTCCACGGTCCAACAAAAAAATTGTCTTTGATGATGATGGAATTGACAATGTAGAAACAGCCATTCCTACAAAGAAACCAAGAATTGATTCCAGAGAGGGAGTTACCCATAAACCTCAAGAAAAGAAATCAAAAGCTTTGTCGCTGTTTGATGACTCGGATGATGAAACAGCCAATTGGAGTGGTGAATTCCAAGTGAAAAAGCAGTTTGAGGGGCACAAGGGTAAAAAAGTAAGATAACATATTTCCTTTATAATGTTCAATTGACTTTTAAGCCCAACATTTCTTTACTAGATCATTTTTTATTTTTTCTGTCAGCTATTGGAGTTACAAAGTGGATACAATAATGACCAACGTTTCAAACTCGATGAGAGATTCTATGATAGTGATGACGAATCAAGAAATAAAAGCGATAAAAAGTCAGAGGAATCAGAGCCGGGTATTGCTGAAGATCTTGCGGAGGAGCGAGAGAAACAACTAGAGATTTTATCTGGTATTCTTGGCAAGCCCATTTCAGTTTCTCTTCCACCATCCCATCATGAAAGGTACCATCCCATGATGATTTTGAGAGTGTTATGTAAAAAAGGTTAAGAATTTTATATTACATTTTACCCTTTTTCAGCAAAACTCAAGGAATGTTGAGGTTTGACCCTTCAAAGCCCAACCATTCTAAATATGAGCTCACGAAAGAACCTCACGAGGGAAAGAAAAAGAAGAAGTCAAAACTTGACAAGAAAATTGAGGATGAAGATGAAGAAGTCAACGAAGAAAATGATGAAACTGTGACCTCTAGGGTTCGGCGTGAAGAAAAGGATCCAGAGCCTGTATCTCAAACCAAATTTTATTCTGTATCTGACACTCTAGCTGATTCTCTCAAGCTAGCTAAGGAAGGTCAAAGCTCTGGATTCAGTTTGTTGCAAATGTTTGGTTCTTCAAATTCTTCTTTAGGTATGCTTTGTCCAAATGAAGTAAGATGTTTTCCTTTCACCAAATTTCTTTCACCATCATCTATCTATCTGATTTCAGAGGTTAAAGAGAAGCACCCTGAAGTCTTCACTAAATCACTGCATAAAGGGCCGAAAAAAGGATTTATGCTTGATGATTCTTCATCAGAGGATGAGGAAACTGAACAAGGCCCAACTGCTGTTGTCAACAGTTCAGCATTCCAATCAACTAACAGTTCCATTTCTGGTGTTAGATCAACTGGAGGTGTGTGGCAAGAAAGCTTTTTCTTCCAACCAAATGATGACCGGCTGAAGGGTGAGTTTCTTTAGATTTGCTTTATACCACAGAATTTTTGTAATATTGTAAAGTTTGATTTATAAATTTGAATGTTTTTCATCTTTTTGACAGAGGGTGCAGACTTCTTCTCACAGATCGATTCTTCAGATCCTGCTTTGTTTTCTAAGAAAAGAGAGGCTTTGAAACGTATTGTTAAACTGAAACTCAGAAAGACCAATCGTAAAGCTAATTCATTTAAGAACAAAGTTGGCACTCTAAGAAAGAAAGCTAATCTATGGCCAAAATCCAGTAATGGGCAAAGGCCAAGAAAGAGACAAAAACACTAAAAAGTTGGTAAAATTTAATTTTTAGCCTATTTTCTTGTTTAATCTTTTCACAATTTACATTCTTGATTTGCCTAGTCTCAAGTTTAAACCAAGTGGTGAATTATGGATAGGAAAGTGAAAATATAATACAAAAATAAACAGATGAATTATTATTTATTATGTAGAAGTATCCTTTATAAATCAAACATTAAAACTGTTTTGAAAATAAGCTTTGCTTGAATACTTTGTTGAAAAATTTATTCAATAAGAACAAAACTATACAGGAATCATAAGCACTCAAGTACTGAGATGGTTATAATACTGACCAAAGCAGAATCTGCCTCTTCTGTGATTACATACCTTGGACCCATTTGTTGTTAGATATCAATCACTGGGGGATAATTAAGCCATCACAGGAAAAAATATTCTTCATTTCCAACTCATTTCTAACTGACCACTTAAATGAATTACCATGTAAGTGTTTATCACAGCACAATTGTATACGGCAGGTCATAGTTATACAAAACAATGAGATTGAAACATCAGTTTTAAGTGGAATGCGTACATGTACCAATTACTAAAAACTATGAGTAGTCAAATTGACACATTTGGTGCAAATGCACATTAAGTAAGTTCGGCAGTAAAATCTATAAGTAAAAGCTTAAAACAAGCAAAATTTGCAAGACATTGTTTTAAAAAATTTGAGAATAGTACAAAATTTAAACAAAAATAAACTCCTGACCCAATAACTTTTTGTCATTTTCATAGGGTGGTAACCAAAATCAGAGAAGCCTTGGTTTGCAATTCCACAATTTCAAACGCCTAAGAAAAATATTTGTTGTAGAAGCAAACCAATTTGTAAAATCTCGTGTCATTAATAACAGATAAAACAAAATATTGTAGTGGGTCAGGGATGGTTCATCATATTTGCTTTGCCTACAGAGAAAGACTAGAACAGTATCATTTTAATGGATTTTTGAATCAATCCACAACTGTCTGACACATTTGTAAGGATTCCACTTACAAATGGAAGCATGAAATTGAAACCATAATATCCATCTCACCTACACAGGTAGTTTTCATGGACAACCATTTACCTATCTACTTGTACAAAATTCCCACATGAAGGAATTTTCATCATCGTTCCTTATTAATTTTTTCCACTGATCTATGGTACTTGAAGATTTTCAACTTGGATGAGACATATGTTGGGGAGATGATGAAAGAAGTCCAGTCCGAGAACTATCTGTGAGGTCCATAAGTAGATTTTCACTTTCACTTATAATAGACTCTGCTCCAGATTCTCTTCGACGAACTGCAGCTACAGCAGCGATAGCAGCCTGTTGTTGGCTAATAGATCGAGCAAGCTGACGCTGCCTTTGTTCTTTCTGACGGGCTCGTTTAAGTCTTGTGAACTCGTCCATGTCGTTGTCATCACCACTTTCTGAGCTAGTAGCTCCAATACTTATAGTTTCCTCAGCTTCAACCATTGGCGCAGCATGCAGGCTACCCCCACTCCCCAGATTACTGTGAGGCGGTGTGAATCCAGGAGCACTCTGAACTGACAAAACCTAGAGAATGTGAGACCATATACAATGGGATGAGTACAATTTAGAACATTTACAACTGATGCACAAAGAAAAGTGTACTCATTACCTCAGGAAAGTTGTCGCTGAACCTTGATGGAGATGAAACTGTAATTTGGCCTCCATATGATGGAGCAGAACTAGATAAGGCTGCATGAGGTCGGCTTTGAGAGTGTGCCCCATAAGCAGAGCGAGGAACATCTACTGGGGCAGACGATAGTGGAGCACCCAATAATGCCTCATCAGCTTCATTTTTATCCTCTCTGCTCAAATCTTCCTCTTTAGCAAAAATATCTCTAACATTTGGACGTGGATCTGGTCTACGCATTGAGGTAATTGTTGTTTGTTCATCAACTTCTTCAATTACTTGGTCTGTAAGTCTTACTGATCCTCCAGGTGCCTGCTAAATATACAACAATAACCGTTGATTTAAAAAATGTTTATCCTTATTTAGCTTTTCAAAAAAATGAAATAAACAGTACCTTTGGTATTAAGTTAATGGAGCTTCCACTAGTAGAACGCTTGAAATTACTGTCAGGTGCACCAGAGATATTAACATTGCTGTTACCCAAGCCGGTTGCAGCGTTACCAGCTGAAAAACAACGGATTTTTTTGTTTTTATTAACACTTAATCAGGAACGTCTGTCCAAATAAAATGTGAAAAGAAACGATCTTTACTCTCAACTGAGGCCATAGGAATAGCTGAAGGTTGTTGAGGGGGCTCTCTTGAAAATAAGCGTTTTAAAACAGATGTAACTGAGGCAACCCGGTGCAATGAGCCTGCTACAGATCCCATACCCAAATTTGTATTAATTGATGTATTGGAGGAGGTTGACAATGTTCTGTCATAATAATGAGATTGTGGGCGGCTTCCAGCACTCTTGGCCAGGAAGTGGATTCCACTTGCTGCATCATCTTGGGCCTATAAACAATACATTCATAGTAAGATATTTTGTACAAAGATGTCAAAAAGCTTGTATTAAAAAATGTTAGCTGACCATAGCATCGCCCATAGCCATTTCATCAAGTTTTAGCGTTGAATTAAACGATAGTGTGGTTCCAGCTGCTGGAATATCTATGTTAGCAGTTGAAGGCTGAGGATGTTCCTCTCGAAATGGCTCACTGGCTACAGTGTATGGCAGTTCAACAGGTAATACTTCATCCCAATACTGGTCTCTTATTAGCTCAGGATGCTCATGATGCATTTCATCCACAATAAGATATGAAACCTATAAAAGTTAATAATTAATACAAGTGTGAGAAGTAAGTGTTAAGTTAAAATATTGAACAGTAACAATAATTTTATAAAATACCTGAACATTACGATCAACAATCCAGTTTACTTCAAAATCATCATCGTCTTCACCAAAGGGATTTATAAGGCTTTCAGCTACTTTTAACCAGCCCATGTAAAAGAAAAACTGAAAAATTCAAAGAAAAATAATACTATGAAATGGATTTAGAAAGGAATTATTTTAAAAGTAGACCATAATTTACTTACCTGAAGAGTCAGGAAGAAGGGGAAGTACAAATCAATCTTGCTACGATGTTTCGTAGTCGTGTCCGCACCAGGGGTCACTTCCAGCCATTGCCTTGCTATGACGGATGTAATAAAGTACGAGTACACAGCCAGAGTGACCACTTGGGTGTACACAAGGGGCACGCTGATCGAGTCGTAGTTGAGGAGCATGCCGCACTGCCCTCTGAACTTGTTGAGCTCGTCGATGATGGTCTTTGACGCGTAGTCGTCCCGGATGCGGCCCTCCCGCCGCGCCCTCGTCACGATGGACGCCGCCCACACGATCGGCAGCCAATGCTTCGAGTGCCGCGGGAACTTCTCGTCCAGGTCGCGGATGATGACCCTCTCGTTCTCCAGGAGGAGACCTGGAAGCGCACCGGATAATGTTACGGAGTAGAGGGGTGGGGTGGGAGAGAGAGTCTCTCTAAGCCCCGAGTGTACGCACCAGCCTCCACGAAGTGCTCCAGCGTGGGGAAGCGCATCTTGACTCTGGGCGAGATCATGGAGAAGACCATCGTGAGGCAGAGGCACACGTACCGCATGATGGTGCGCCGCATGAGCCGCCCACGCTCGTCCTGCAAAGGAGCGCGGTTAGTCCTCAGTCGGTGACGGCCACAGCATCCATGGCGAGGAGGCGGGCGATAAACGCCCGGCAGTTATACCGTGTCGCTCGCAGGTGTGTCGGGCGGGCCTGCCTATCGCCCACGGCGCCTTACGCGCTCCAGCCAGTAGGCAACCCGCCCGCACGCGTGCCATGCGGCACAGTCCAGCCGCCAGGGGTTCTCCCCAGCTCTCTCTCTCTTTCTCTCTAGGTTGAACCTTGAACGAACCTGGCCGTGGATGTGGGAGCTGACAAAGACGGCGATGGGGTCTGGCCAGGGTATGCTGGTGTACTGGTCCCACCAGCGCTGCATGATGATGGAGATGTAGAAGCCCAGCACGAAGGAGAGCGGGATCAGGTCGCTGTACGCCTCGCAGTACTTGACCACGGCCTCGAACACTCTGCGCACGGGACGCACGCGAGCATTGTAAACTGACATGACAGCGCAGCCAGCAGAGAGTACTACCCGGTAGCGCTACTTACATTTTCTGTTGCTCGTCCAGAGCCAGGCGGTACGTCAGGTTGAGGGTGTAGTAGAGGAACAGGAAAGTGGCGAGGTCCGGCCACACGAGCTTGTAGATGCTGCCCCTCCATCTGCAGACAGGCGGTAACACAACCCCATGAATATTAAACCCGCGACAAAGGGGTTGACATCCCCGCAGCGCCTCGCGGCGCCCGCGATGCGAACGACACAGACACAAGCCAAGCGCCACGCGCCGCACCACCCCGGGCAGCGGCCGCGCGCCAGCGCGCGTGGCCACCCCGACCTTCACCAACACAGCCGCCCCACCGCCACCCCTCCCCAGTCCAGCCACGGCCGCAGCCTCGGCGCGCTGGAGCCTGGGGGCCCGATTGTCGGGCGGGCGCGGCCCGTGGCTAGGCTAGGGGTGGCGGGGCGCGCGCTGGCGCGCTGGTGCAATCGCGTGAGGGTGGGACGTGGACGTGGGACACACAGGCCATCACAGGGGGATGACTGGAATTACCTCCAACCACTCCCACCCCTTTCCTCATTTGTCGTCATTTTCTGAGGGCGCTCCTCACGCATATCTCACAGACCTCAAGGGAGCAGGAAGAGAGGGAAAGGGGTGGGCGCTGTGGGGGCTTCGGCTCCATGCCCGAGCCGCTGACCCTGTGGATCGATGCATACTTTTGAGTCGATAAGTCGACATCCATGAAGCCACTTCCAGGAGGTAATTGTGACGCAACTTAGGGAGTAAAGGGGGCGCTCAACTCGCCCGCTAGGTGGGGAGAGAGGGGGTGGGGAGAGGGGGTGGGGAGAGGGAGTGGGGAGAGGGGGCGGGGTGCAGCGGCGGAACACGTCATGCTTGTGACGTCATAGTGCGGACCCTGGCCCCACAGCCCCACCGCGCCCCGAAAGCACAAAGACATGCTCCCGTCTCTCGGTCAAACCCAAACTCAACTCAACACTAAAAAGTTTTCGTGAATTTACGAAAATATGTTACAAAATGCTTTGTAAAAAATATTTTACGAAAATGTTTCGTAAGTGTCAATTTACGAAACATTTCGTAGTTTTGCAAATATATTTCGTAACGAAATTCAAATTTTTGTGACATGAGTCATAAAAAATGAACAAAATATATACAAATTTCATACTATTTAGTTACTCTGGAAACCCAAGTGTGTACTTGAATGCAGAATATTCTGCATACCTACATGTATGCAGGAAATTCTGTGTATACTTAGCAAGTATGCAGGAGATAGTGTTTACTTGGTCAAGTATGCAGGAGATAGTGTGTACTTGGTCAAGTACACACTAAAACCTCCATACATTTATGCAGGAGACTTAGTGTGTACTATTCAATTACACACTTGGGTTTCCAAAGTAAAGCTTTGGATTTTACATAGCAATTCGTAAAATAACGATGCATCGTAATTTTGTTAAAAACGAAGGTTTCGTAATAGAAAATTGACCGAGAAAATTTCGTAAAATCACGATAATTTTTTTTTTCCAGTGAAACCCGTCTTTCGGAACAGAGTCTATCCAACTGAAAAGCCTCGATCTCCACCCGGCGGTAGCTCGGCTCCACAGTTTCTGGCCTCCATCCGCCGACATCCTCTATCGATTTACCGGCCCGCGCAGTCCCCACCCTCCCCTCTCCCCTTGTTCCAGAGTACCCGCTGCGGTACTGCGGGTTCGGCAGTTCGACGGGCTGCATAGCGGAGACGGGCACGCGGGTATACCGCTCCACGCCACGCCATGGTGGGCTTGTCACGATACAGTAGCGGGTGGGCGTTACGCTGCCGATTGTCACAACCAGCACAACAGCGACTGCAGCGCGCGCGGCACACACAGGGGCACGGCTCGCTTCGCCATAAAGTTTCACCAGAGCCGCCCGCCCAGCCCTGCAGTATGTCACCCCCACCCGCCCCTAACGGCGGTGACGCTGTGGCGGGCGCGCTCCTCAAGTTGCCAGAGGCGTAAACACGACAAAAAAGTTGGGGGGGCCGTAGTACGGGTTGCCTACCTAGTAGGCGGACTCGAAGACCGTGTTATAAGGAAGAATTAGGGTATTTTGAATAAAAAAAGGGGGAATCAAGTGATAAACATAAAAAACAATCTATTTGTCATAATAGTTCAAAAGAACATTCAACATCAAAGCATTAAAATGAAAAATTAATTTAAACTTTTCCAAAACACTTCTTTCTGTCATAATTAGCGGAAGCAAATTCCTTAAGAATACCAGTCAAATCCAGAGCCATACAGTAGCGTCTCTACCGACAGTCGGCATCGGCCCGAACTGATCAATTTGGTTCTGCTTAGTCGGTCTGAAAGTTGGGGGGGCACGGCCCCCCTAACTTGAAAGTTGGGGGGGCCGCGGACCCCCCGGCCCCCCCGGTGGTTACGCCATTGCAAGTTGCCCCTTACACTCCCCACGTTGCTCCGGCAACTCCACGATGGCGCCAACCATTACTCTCCCGGCGTGAACCGCGGGCCCTAAAGTAAATACGGCGTGTCCGCGAGGGCGCGGCGGGGAGGGGAAAGGGCTTCGCATCGCGCGACCGCACCCGCACTCGCATGTGCTCGTGCGTGCCGCGCTGCAGGTCTCCTCTTGGCCGACAATTTTGTATGTAGAAGGCGGCTGCGCTCAAGCCGGGCTCCCAGCGCAGTCGCCTCCTCGGAGAGACCTTGAGCTGATTGCCGCCGGAGCCCCGAAGACGCCGCCGCCGCCCGGCCGCCCATCGAGGCGGATAGGACGCTGATCCCGACGGGCGAACGAGCGTCTGGCGCCAATCAAATAAGCCTTTTGACCCTGCGGCCCGGAGTCAAGTGTCATCGGGTAGAGGCGGGCGGGCGCCAGCCCCGCCCCTACCAGCCCCGCCGCCCCGCGCAGCAGCTGCAGCGTGTGCGCCCGGCGATAATCCACGCTCAATGAATGAATCGGCCTTATCTCTTATCAATATTAGAGCAAGTGAGTAAGCATGCCGCGCCGCAACGCCTCCTCGCAGGGTCCTCGAGGGCTTCCAGGAAGATGTATCCGCGTCGACTCATCGCCCCACCCCCGCACCGCGCCGGCGCGACTTCCCGTTGTGCGTATCAGTGATTGTCGCTGTGGGCAAGTAGACCAAGGAGGCTATGTGCGGGCAACGGTGCGGGTGGCATGGAAGTATGGAAGAGAACCCAACAGATCCAACGTGGGCGAACGTAGGATAGTATGACCTCCATAGTTTCACTTTCAAACAAAACTCAAACAAAATAATTCATACTCAGTTCTCATTTCTGACAACTCGCCCGGGGTCCTTGAGAACTGTCACTACCTGCACCC